AAGGTCCCAGCATACGTATGTCTTGGGTCCTCTTCTGTAGCCACATATACTCAAGCATGACCCCGCAGAATCTCTTCTGTACATCTCAGAAGCCAGAAGGAAACGCTGGGACGTAGATGGACATTACTGGACCAGTCGTGGTGTGTTCCCTGCTGTTGTATCTCACACTGCTTCTCTTGTTGCAGGCCTTGCGAAGCTTCAAGCTGACGGTCACTGTGGATCCCAAGTATCACCCTAAAATCATTGGGCGAAAGGGAGCAGTGATCACCCAGATACGCACAGAGCATGAGGTCAACATCCAGTTCCCTGACAAGGATGATGAAAGCCAGGTGAGAGGTTAGAGGGTGTGCAAGGGAGGGCTGGTGGTTGTCTCCAAGCATTGGAAGCACAGCATCTTCTTTAGGGCTCTGAATTCCCAGCACTGCCTCTGGGTAAGGTGCAGGGGTAAAAGCAGGGAGAAGGCTTGCTCAGCTGCTTATGAGCCTGGTCTCTCACACACTTCCCTGTTACCAGGCCCAAGACCAGATCACCATCACTGGCTATGAGAAGAATGCCGGGGCTGCCCGGGATGCCATCATGAAGATCGTTGGTGAGCTGGAGCAGATGGTGTCCGAGGATGTGACTCTGGACCATCGTGTTCATGCACGCATCATTGGTGCTCGTGGTAAAGCCATCCGCAAAATCATGGACGAGTTCAAGGTAAGCAGTGGGGCAGTGCCACGCAGTGTGCTAAGAGCTTGGTATCAGCTTGATGCTAGGGGCTAAATTCTGGAGCATGAGGCTCGTATCTTGTGGTCTTTGTGTCTTGTGCTTTTTGAGCACCTTCAGTTGGAAGAGGCAGAAGAGAAAAGTCAGTGCTGTCGTGCTTACCTCCAGCTCTATCACCACAAGCATGTGAGGAGAATCTCTGGGCCAGGGCACCATGGTATGCCCAAGGCAGCTGGGCTACCTGGACACCACACCCAGACACCAGCTGAACGTTCCCACACAACCTCAGCTCTGAGTCATCTTTCTTCTGGGAGCTGTGCAGGGAAGAGGCTGAACTCTTCCTGTCTTGCTGGAAAACAGCCAGAAGAGGAACCTGGAAATGCTTCCTTGATGCTTTGGGTTAGCCCAGCAAACAGCACTGAGCTCTGTCCCTTTGTGCCCTTTTAGTGGTTTTCTTGCAGACAGGGTCCCCACATGGTCTTCAAAGGGAGGAGGTGGTTATGTCAACTACTCTTGAGTACTCGAAGTGGACAGCTAGGCCTGTTGCTGGGGAGCTCTGGGAGGAGTCTGTGCCCAGACCTCCTCTGCTTGAGCTTAACTCAAGGAAATACTCTGGATTTCTTTACCTCTCCAGGCCGCTGTTGATGCTCTTGAGTTTGGGAATCTTGACACACTCTCAAGGCTCCAGATTTGGCAGGGTCAGCTGGCTTTGGGAAGGGCAGAGACCTTTGCCCCTGACAGCATGTGGCAGTAGCAGTGAGCTTTCCTACAGGGGAAGTAGTGAATGTGAATCCAGCCTGATGATGCTTTTGGAGACTTGCATCTTGGCTAGACTCAGTTTGGCTTCCGTGCACCCATCTGGAAGAGCAGCTGTGAGAAAACTGGGTGGCTGTGCATGTGGTACACTAAGCCAGCTCCATAAAGCAATTGTCAGCCAGGATTACTCTATCCATGGCGACAGAAAACTTATTGTGCTTCATGCTAATGGCTTGATGGTGAAAATGCTTGCAGCAGTGTGAGGACACTGTCTGAAAATGCGAACTCTTGTACCTCTGCTGCAAATGCTGCACAGAAAGCAGTCCTCTGGGCAGTGAGAACAGATGAAGCTGCAGGAAAATGGGTCATTACTGCAGACTCTGTTCTGCCTTCCTTCATGGGGAAATTGGACAGGCATCAAGGATAAGTATGTTCCAGGGCACTCTCTAGCATCTGAATTATAGAGGTCCTAAAGAGACTTGTGGCAGTGAACAGATCAGGGCTTTTCTCTTCTGAGAATCTAATGACGAGGGTCATGGGGAGTCTGGCTTTTCAGATGTACAAGATGTAAGTCCCACCCTGTTCCTTGTGTTGCAGGTGGATATTCGCTTTCCCCAGAGTGGAGCTCCTGACCCCAACTGTGTGACTGTGACAGGACTCCCTGAGAATGTGGAAGAAGCTATTGATCACATCCTGAATTTGGAGGAGGAATATGTAAGTGTTCAGTGAATCCATGCAGGGGCTTAGCAAGGATTTCCTCTGCCTTAGAGGTGGATGCCTGAAGTGTCTCCATGTGGTATTTTCTGCCACTGCATGGGAGAACTTAAGCCCTGTGCAGGTGGCAGTCAGTCCTCATCTGCAGTCCCTCAGAATAACTGGGTTTAGGGCCCAGGCTGTGCTTTGCGAAGCAATGCAAGGACTGGCCCCAATGTCCATGGGAGGATAGAGAATGAGAATGCTGGGGCACCAGCGGGATGTGCATATGCTTGTCTTGCTGGAGCCTTGCACCAGTTAGGAGTTGGTTGGCCTTCAGACTTGTGCAGAAACACTGTGTTTGGTCATTGTAGAACAGACTGGTGACCTTCGACAGGTTGCAGCATGGTCAGATGGTGAAGGGGAGGCATGTTATACCAGTTTGAGGAACTATCAAGATCCCCCGTTAACTGGGCTGTGTCACTACAGCTTGCAGATGTGGTGGACAACGAGGCAATGCAGGTGTATATGAAGCCCTCTTCACATGAAGAGTCCAAGGCCCCGTCCAAGGGCTTTGTGGTGAGAGATGCCCCTTGGGCTACTGTCAACAACGAAAAGGTGAGTGCTGCTTCTGTTACAAGGCTGGGGACACAGGGTCCCCTCTGCCAAGGACTTATTCTGAGGTCTGGCCCTCCTCTTTTGGTTGGGGAAACAGAACATTCCTTCCTCCTTTGGTGGCAGAGAAAGCAGTGGCCTTTGCAAGGTGAGAGCAGGCTGGTAATGCCTCTCCAGCTTCCAGAGCACTGGTGTTTCTTGCAAATGTCGTTCTTAACCCACACTGACTTAACCCACTGTGGAGGTGCTGGGGAATGGGGGTCCCTAACCAGAAAGTGTTCTGTCAGGTTCTGTTGTTTTTAGGAGCAGGGCCCTGGGACTTCTGCCTCTTCCGCTGCAGCACATAACCAGCTCCACCTTTGCAGCTGTGTTCTGGCTGTGAGCAGTGAGGTGGGACATGTGGCAGCTCTGTCTCCAGCTGTCCCAGTGCTGCTGCAGGATGGGCCTGACTCTGCTCTAGTGACTGAGTTACTGAGGTTGGACCCTCAGAGTTCTTAATCTGCCTTGCTCCTATCTGCACCCTCCTAAATGTCATGTCTAGATGGGTTGACCACCCACCCTGGGCAGTCCTATGGACTCATGGGACATCAGAAATGCTGCTGAGCTCCGTGCAGGTTTGTAGCAGGGCAGGAGCTTAACTTGTTCCCTTTTCGTTTGCTCTAGGCCCCTGATATGAGCAGTTCTGAAGACTTCCCCAGCTTTGGGGCTCAAGTGGCCCCCAAGACTCTTCCCTGGGGACCCAAACGATAATGACCTGGAAGCAGAACCTCCTCCAGCCCGCTGACCTGACACTAACCTGCCACAAATACTTCCTGTCTGAAATCTGACCCAGCGGCTGGAGCACAAGTCAATTGCCCCAAGAGGTCTCCTAATGGTGTCTGGAGTGCTAGACCCCATCCTGCTCCCCTCAGCTATCACCGTGGCTAGGACCCACCCTCATCTCTTGATGGATATTCTTTCCTCCTTTGGAACAAGACTTCACTCAGATTCAAACACTAAATGTGTGTGGTTTTGTTAGAAACTTCATAATTGACTCAAAGTGGCTAAGATTTGCAGCTTCCCAAGAGCAATTCGCTCTCTTGAGCATGTCTTACTAGGCATTCTCGCCTTCATTAGGAGACCTCCTTTACTGTGGCTAGGAATCTACTTCCTGTCTCATGACCTCAGGAAATAAATTTCCTTGACTTTCTAAAGCCAAAATGTTTGCCCTCTTTCCTTTGTGTTTATCCCAGGCCTTACCTTACCTTTGTAGAGTGCAATCAACTTTTTTCCTTTTAACTGCCAAAAATTCATTTAATGCTGATAGCTGACTGTGGGAGAGCTTAAAATAATCTGAAAGGTCAGAAACTTGCTTTTTAAAGGAGCAAAGCCTTCAGTGGGCTGTAGAAGCAGCAGAGATGGAAGGGACCAGAGCAATGTTACTGCTACCCTGGTCAGGTAAACACCTTGGAGCACAGCACCAAGCACAGCCCCCACCTGCACGCTTGACAAGTCTTCCAGTGCGTGATGACAGACCCCGCTCCTAGTTCCCTGTGTGCCCACATTCACCCTTCCCAACAGCCCACAGTGGGAGAAGGCAGGTGATCCAGCACATGACAGTATTACCAGATGGGACAGATTGGGGTTGGCCAAGGATGCTGCAGTGGCATGGCCCAGGAGAAGCTGGTGGGAAGCATGGCCTTGAGAAGCTGCAGTCCTCTGCTAGCACTGCAGGATCTATGCACGAGCGGTAGGGACACCTATTACTGTTGCTTTCTTTCTACCTCAAATGTCAGTACGATGGTGGCCTCTGCTATTCCAGTTCTTGCCCTGGCATCCAGAGCAGAAGTGTGGAGGAGGAGGAGGAGCAAGAGGAGCCTTTTGTCTCCGAGTGGCAGTGGGAGCCCCTCTGGATGGAAGCTGAGTGTGGTGGTGATGAGGCAGGCTGTGAATGGGAGAGAACTGTAGGACTGCTTCCTGACCTAGAACAGGGCTTGGTTCCAAGGCCATAGGTGTAGCCTTGCCCCAGCCCTGTGCTGCAGAGATTGTGAGCCAGGCTTCTGCTCTGGTAGCACAGTGGGGCTGTGTTGAGCCCTCCCCGAGGCCTCCATCGTACGGGTGGTAGAGGGTGATCTGTACTCTGGGCCTCTTGTGCCTAGGTCCTCCCATGGCTTGCTTGAAGGGGGCTGTGTCCAAGCTCCTCCAGCCAGGAAGAGGAAGATGGTGTCTTTGAGGAGGGAGGCAGGGAGTATGGCATTTCTGTGTTCCCTTCTTCCCCTGCCTGAGTCCTACAGAGTTTGTAGTCTGAGCCATTCCTCTATCCCAGCTGCTTCAGCTTTGGCCAAGCAGGAGTCCCTTAGCCTTTCCTCTGTAGTGCTGCTTACAGAGCAAAGGTCCAAATCTCTGGCAAGCTGAGCTGAGCATTCTTGCCTTTCCCTCTATCTGGCAGGCTTGACATGCTGATGCTTCTTCCCACGCCAGCTCTTCTTGGAAGAGGCTGCTATGCAGAAGTTGAACCAAAACCTCACAGTGCTCTCCTTAGGTTTGAGACATGATTGAGGCTGACCTCGGCCTGATGCAGGGCACTTGGCTGCCCAGGGTGGCCTTGGCTCCAGCACAGGAGACACAAGGTGGGTCAGACAGAACTAGGGTGACACCCTCCCATCTGCATCTGTCAGAAAATGGTTATTACCCCTGTAGCTTAGGTTTGTCCTACATCACCAAGCCTATCACCCCCCTCTTCCTCTTTATGGCCCCTCACCAGTTGCACAGTTAGGCTTGAGTTACATTTGGGGCACCACCATCTGAGCTCATGCCCCATAGCCCGACCCTCCACTCTAAAGAAGGTCATGAAGTGATTGTACCTAGTACTGTCCCCCCACCACCCTCCTTCCGCAGCAGACTGTGGCATGTGTCCATTTCTTCTCTTTGACGTCTTCCATATTGTACATTTCCATAGCAATGATCCCTTGGCCTTAACTTTGGAATTTGGAGACTATATGCAAACATGTAAAAAGGCTCATGAGTATGGATGACACTGGAATTTTATAAATTCTAAAATAAAACCTGAAACAGCTCAGAGTGTCACGGATATTATTTCTGCTGGTGGGTTTTGATCCAAGGCAGCCCTTGCTTGGCTGGTTCGAAGAGTTCCAGCTTGCATGTGTCAACCTCTGCTGCAGCAATGCCCTTGCTGAGGTGCAGTTCATACAGCAGGCACCTGGGTCAAGGGGAGGAGGCAAGGGCAGCAGAGCCCTGTGCCTGCTCAGTCAGGCTGCTCGTAGTCACAGGCAGTCACACAGTGTTGAGCAGCGAGAAAAGGGGCCACCACACAGATGGTGACGAAGCCAGACTACAGGACTGGGAGGGAGTCTGAGAAGATGGCAGTGGCAGCTACAGCATCTTCTAGCCATTCTGCAGGCAGTAAGCAACCCTTCCCTCTGCAACACCCATGGGCTACTGGGGGTGAAAGCTCCCATGGCTGGTCCCCTCCTCCAGGGAGCTCCTGCAGTTCCTGCCTCTCCCCACCAGCTCTCTCTCCCAGTGCTCCAGCCCTCTGCTCACAAAGGCCAGTCCCTCCCCATCTCCAGGTACTCACCAAACAGCCCTTTGAACACTAGCAGCTGTTAGCCCATCACCCAGGGTGTCTGCTCCACCAGGACCCCCCCTTCTCCTTGGAGAGGAGCTTATGCTTGTGCCACCAGCACTTCATCTTCCTGGGGAGTGTCCGTGTCCTCACCTAGCCCCGCTGCAGCACACCCGTATCCTGAAGCCCCACCATGAAGTGTGGGGCTGATGATCTGCTTCCCCACCCTGATGACCAGCAGCTCCTGTGCCTGCTCCCACAGAGTCAGCCAAAGTCAGCAATTGGCTCCAAGTGGCTTCAGTGTGTTGCAATCTTTCTTGGCCATAAATAATAGACAAAAGAACAAGGAAGTCTCTTGTGTTAAGATTTAATAATTATTATTATAACAACAACATTTCAAAAACAATGAGTGCATTGTACACAAGATCTGGTATTCAGTGCTTTTGCTGGACCATTTGCTCTGCGAGTGTCAGTGTACTGAAGACCTGGTAAGTGGTAAGTGGATAAAAAACCCAACTGGGACATTGCTGCAAGGAGGGCAGGAAAGAGAGAGAGGGCAGCAGGAGGCTCAGAATCGAACAAAGGTGGCATCGATCTGCCGGACAGTGGGGAGGGTCAGCATGATCTTGCGCCGGTACTGGGGGTCCTTCTGCAGGGGGTTTCGCTCCAGATAGACAGTTTCCAAGTTCTTCGCTCCCTTCAGCTCATCCAGGTCACTCCAGCTCTCGACCAGATTATCATTCATCTGCAGAGCACACACAGGCACCCTCAAACAGACAGGTATTGCCAAACTAAGCCTGGTGAGCAGGAAACTAACCACAGCAGTGCTGGGAAAGACCTAGCAGGACACTGAGACAGTCTACACAGCATCCCAGCCCATACACTGTTCATTTAAGGGTTGGAAATCTTTGTTAAGTGTTTCTTCTGTACACTGTAACATCCATCTTTACTTTCACAGCTTCCCAGGAAACATTAAAAAAGGTTCCAAACTGATGTGAAACGTGACATTTTCCCCTCTCTTCTTCCCCACAAAACCTGCTCCTGCACACCAGAGGAAGCACCAAGCTCCCCTGTTCAGGCTCTCCTCTGGTCAGCCTGGGAGATGCCTTGGTGGTGGCACTGCAGAGGAATTCCCATGCAAGGGGATGTATGCTTCACCTGCCTGAGCAAGAAAGCCAAGTATGCAAGGTGGCCATGTACTATCCAACCTAGAGACTTCAGCCACCCTTTGCTTTTGGATATAGACAATGTCACTATAACACCACCACCTTTAAAAATAAATTTATATATATATAT